TAAGAAATTTACCTGTAAAGGGTATCTGAAGTTTACATTAAATAAAGACGACCGAAGTCAGTATTTGCTACAAATTATGATCTTAAATAGACTGTCCAATATTGATGTTTCTTCTCTTCCATTCGCCATTCATGCAGCCAGAACAAAATATACGCTTAAGCATACTTTTTGGAGTAAATTGTGCTGCTGGCTCATATTTCTGTTAACGACATGCTCATTATTTAGAAACCATAACCACAATTCCAGAAATCAATTAAAAGAGCAAAAAAGATGCGCATCTAAAAACATTGCAGTACATACAAACCAACACAAACTTATGTACATATCTATACACAAATACAATCCAATTGCAGTGCAAAGTAATCTCCCAGCGGCGTTGGCATTAGAAAGTCATAAATTGACACATTTGTGATACAGTTATGTTTTAGTAAATAAATCGAACGTTCACATAACGGCGCAAAACTGCGTCAAATTGCCAAGATCTAAGCAAATTAGCATTTTTTAAATTCATTAAAGCAATTGTAACTGTTTTAATGAGGCATTTTCCATTAGAAAATTCAATACGCAACACAGCTTAATGCAGCCTCTATATAAGCGAGTATGTCTTCGTCAGTCGGCACTAATTATGGCGCCTATTTCGTGCAGTCGTTGACTCAAATTTCAATTTTCTTTTAATATACTTTTTATGAAGTAATTACTTTTCCTCCAACGCAAACGACTAGGTAGTCGACTGTGGCCAAACATTCGGGCTTCATTAAATACGCCAAAAGTGTATCGAAATGTTGCATTTACGGCTTGATTCGTCTTGGTAAAGTTTTGCGACTAAATACTCACAACTTTATAATGAACAGATGTTGGCTTCTTTAACACTTTCAGCATTTTTTTTTTTTTTTTTTTTTTTTTTTTTTTTTTTTTTTTTTTTTTTTTTTTTTTTTTTTTTTTTTTTTTTTTTTTTTTTTGTACTAAGGCTGTAAGGGTGTAAGATGTGTTTGCACAAGCATCAATGCCCGAATGTAAGAACAGCTCTTGGAGGGCCCCGTGGCGTATGCTGAACATTTTCGTGGATGCTGTCAAAGGCATCAGAATATTAAGTTTGTTTATATATAATTTCGTTGTTTAGTAAACCATCTGGATATGTATAAAACTTTCACTAGGCGTTCTCTTTAACTTGATATCTAAAAGAAGTTTTGGCCGGAAAACTAACTCGCCCCCGATAAGTTACCTACCCCCCTTTTAGTTGGCTGTCCGGAACATCTGTTTTCGTATTGATTAATTGATGGCTTAAGTATATTTTCAATTAATTAATTTGACGGACACTGCAGCTAAGGGAGGTTGTTTTATAGGCTCTTATTAATGGAAACCTAAGCAACCAAAATAAGTGGGGAAAAGTAATGTGAGATAAAACTTCCATGTTGCCAGCAAAATACAATTAATATGCCTTACAAACTGAACGATCAAAGTCATCATTCTCGTATGAAAAGATAATTTCCAAGAGTAGCATGTATCCAATAAATTTCAACACTGTACGTTATACAAATATCATATAATTTCTTATACTGTGTGGGCAAGATTTTAATGTTGCGAAAAGAAAATCTTAGCATATGAAAGATCAGATAATGATTTGGATTCAAGAAGTCTGCCGTCGTGGATTTTTTCAAAAATTTAAAAGCAGTGGGTCTCTGAGTAGAAAACCGAACTCAGAATCCGCAAGGCAAACATCTTCTAGAGAGAATCGGCAAATAGAAATAAAGGAACGATTCAAAACCACTGATGACATCAGAAAAGAGTTCCTAGAAGACTTTGAAATCGAAATCACTGCAAGAACTATATGAAACAGGCTCCGGGATGCTAGTTTGAACGCTCGATGACCAGAAAAAAAGCCACTTCCGACTAAGAAAATGCGTCAACCACACCTCCGGTAGGCTACAAAGCACCAAAGCAGGTCTAAAATTGATTGGCAGAAAGTAATCTTCTCCGACGAGTTCAAAATCAACATGTTATGTAGCGACGGGATGTCGTACGTAAGGAGGAAAACTGATGAACGAGCTATAGCGAAGAGTGCGTCCGATGAATGGTTAAGCAGGGAGGCAACCGAAAGGTTAGTATGCTTTTCTTACCAAGGACTTGGCAGACTGGCTCTAATAGACGGAACAGTAAAACCAAGTCAGTACCAGGATATAGAATATTTAACTGGCACGCAGCGATCATTTCCTGTTTCTGAATGAACGCGAGGTTGAAATTTTTATGGAATGAAGAGATAATCGCCGAAACTGTAGCCCATTTTGAAGCAAAGGGCAAATCATATTAAAAAATGTTCTCCAAAGAATGGAGGGTTACCTTTATCAGTGTATCACGTTTGAAGGGAACTATGTTGATTAAAACAAAGAATTTTTCCAAACGATATTACTATACTAGGCCGGAGGCTTTTTAGTTGACCTGTTATGTATTTCATTAAATTTGAAGATGCAGGAACGCACATACGACATCTCTCGTACAAAAAAAGAAGAAACAGTGGGTTCCTCATGCAATAAAGGATGAAGTAGCAATGTTCAATTTCTTCCAACTCGGATGATATTTAACCACAAAGCAATGAACCAATCTATTATATTCATTGACACCTTTTATTGTTTTTTCTGAAAGCGTTACTCCTCCATTTATATTGCCACACCCCTTTCACATGTAGCAGCACACACACACACACTGCAGGCAATGTTCGTAAAACCCTGCTTACGTTCGTGTCGCCGCTTCAATCCAATTAAGGCGAATTCAAATTTTGATTGTCACCTTTGTGTATTCTGCGAAGTGCGATAAAATCGTGACCGTTCGCCACACTCGATGTGCTCGTGGAAACCACGTATTTTGACAAGCTCGTCAAACCACTAATAACACAACAACACGCTTATCCAACAATATGCGTACCAACAACTACACTCATACGTACATATTTATGCGTGTGGCAAAGATGAAATGAGTAAAATTCCATTTCTAAACATGTAACAGCATTAACAGAAGTGGATTTACGCATGTGGAATACAAAAACAATTTGTATGTTTGTAGTTAGTAGTGTTTTTATAGAAAGCTAAGAAAAGAGAGAGTAAATGATTTACAGTCGGATTTACTGGGATTTTCGCTAAGATAAGCCATTTATACTATATTTCGATTACAATTGTAATTCTTACGCTCTAATGAGAGGTTGTAGAGGATACACTCAGCACAAAAGCCGCGTGCCGTCGCTGCTCTCTGATAAGCTTATAGCTTGTGTGTTAGGATTCCAATATAATCTTTTGTGATGTACCTTAAGCTGTATATTTTTTGTTTCACCAATCACCATAGCTGCAAAATCCTTATACAGATGCATATTTTTAACATACTACGGAATGCCAACAAACAGCCCCAGTGTTTTTGACTGGTAGCTTTGAATCCCAACTTTGCTGGATAAACTTCCTTTGCCCCAGATTTGAATGTCATAACACCTTAGAGGTTTCAACAGAGTTTTGTTTCGAAGAATTTTGTTTTGCTAACTAAGCTTCAATTTGGAACCATATAACCTATATATTTTTTTATAAGCTACGTTCTCTTTGCGCTGAAGTTTTATGAGGAAAGACAGACCGAGTTATCGTGCACATAACTGAAATCAAATCGATACTTTTGAATGATCGATTGTCATTCCAGTTTTAATTGTGGTATTCGCATAAATATGCCTTCAAGTATTTTCGAGAATAAAGTCAGTCTATGTGTCTCAGCTTCTGCCTTGTTTGACTTCGGCATCATTACAACTTTTACACATTTCCACTGTGTGGAGCAATGGCGCAATCTGAAATTACTATTAAAAAGCTTAATCAATAATAACAGATATTTCTTAGAAATTTGATTGTCTATGCACCAATATTAACATAATCTGGAACTTTCAATTTTTATCGGCGAGAAATTAGACCGGACCTCTGATTGCCTTAGTGTGTAAGAGGTTTTTCCATTGGGGACAAGATCTTGGTGTATGCTTCGACATTCTAACGTTGACTGGTACTACGAGGTGTGTTTAAAAATTATCGCGAATTTTGAGTTTCCCATGAAAGTGTTGATTTATTCATGAATATCTATTATGGCTTCTATAAAGTAATCTCCTACAGTTATATTGCACTTCTGAAATCACTTCAAAAAGTCATTTTTTATAATCTTATTTCCTTTCCACTTCGATGCAGTTTTTATCTTTCCTTTAATGCGCCTCGTTTTGGGAACAAAAAATTACAAAAATCAAAAATCGCTGTACTTCTGGTTCTCGTTCTGCGCAATGTTTCGAGTGATTATTTGATATTTTTCTTGTCAGACGGCATTTTTATAAAATTATAAAAATTAAACCCTTTTTATTATTATTTATGAATTCTATTGATATATTTGACATAATCGAGATATAAACTATCCTATATTCTAAATTAGATCAAACTAGATACCTTGTGCTAAATTTTACTAAAATTGATTCGCTTAGTTTAGAGCTTATCCCGGACAAACAACTTACACGTCATTTTCATAAATTTAGAACAAACAAAATGCCTGTTAAAGAGACAGAGAGTTCTTACCCCAAGTTGAAAAAGACCATAATTTCAGCAGAAATTTGAATTTTTGCCTCAACTTGATTTCAATATATACCCAAGCTGGAGCATCTCATTAATGAATAGGTTTACTCAATCGGAGCTTTATACTTTGACTTTGACTAAAAATAGCCGCTGATTTTCCATCGTCAGAACTAGCATCAGCAACTAGAATCTTATTTGAAAACCTATTCAGCGAGGACTCTATATTTACTTAAATAGAAATACACTAATTTACATACATATTATATAATATTGGCTGTATATATTACATACATTAAAGATTCTCCAATCCAATCGTTTCTTTATTTTTAGATATTTCCTTTATTTTTTTTTCTATTTCACATCTAAATTACAATTATTCTTACAAATATATTTATTTAACAGAGATCTTAGTTAATCGCGCTTTCAAAACTTGTTTAATAGTCAACATTAGTTTTCATTTGGAGAGATATCGTTGCGCTTAATATCCTTAAAACGATATGGACAATAGTTTAGCCTACACACGCACAGTGACACGTCGAAATAACAGCTACTTGAGTGTATCCTCGCACAACATTTTCACTTTACTCGCTAAATAAATTGACAATTACGGAGTACATACATATAAGCTCTTTGATGCCATGTACTTGCGCTGACCCATTTAAAATGCCTTTACCAACGCACAAACACCCCTACACGTACACACATACATACATGCGTGTACACGCATGGACGCAGTGATGGTCAATAAGCGCTCCGCTGCTGCGAGGTCGTGGTAAATGCACACGAGCAATGGCCAATTATTGTTCTACACAAACGACACATTCTTGCCGCACACCCAACTACACAACACATACATATGACTAGGCACACACATGTACATGCATATATGTATGTGTATTAAAGACTAAAAATCAGCTTGTCATTGATTTATTTACGTTCGTCGTCGGCCGACGCTCGCTCTTGTCAGCAGCACAGCAGGCAGCCAGACCAGCAGCAGCTGGGTCCAGCCAAAGAAGGTGTTGGTGCCGCGGCCGTAGAGGGATCTCGGATGACCCACGCTGCAGAGCACATTCTCGTATTGGCGACAATTGGTGAAGTGTTTTTCGTCCGAGAGCATTTTGGCTGTGTCACGTGCAAATTTGGCCGAGTTCTTGTAGCATTTGTAGCGTGCGCTGTTGTAGATGCAATTTTCGTAGGCGTAGCGTGCACTGCAAGAGATAAGGTTGAGAGGAGGATTAAAGGTTTCGGACTTTTGCTTCAAGTTACAACTTTCAATTAAGCAAGCATGCCTTAACTGCGAGAGCAATAATTGGCTTGTGTTTTCCAATTAAGACTAGTAATAAAGTACACATTTTGTGATAAACTAGAACTAATTTAATGTCTCTCGAAATTTTAGCCATAATTCAGCATTGTGTAGTATAATCTTTGAAATGATCTCTTTGCAATGACCAGAAATAATAGACAAAGTCGTGAGCACACAGATTTAAACTTTAGTCTGGGTTACCTCAGCTAACCCAAGGAAATCTGCGACAATTTCATATTTCTGCCGATTATGGCAATCTGTCCGTCCGTTCAAGCTGTAACATGAGCAGAATTGCTGAAACTTGGTACGTCGTTTCCTTAATACAAAAAATGTTCGAGTTCGTAGATCGGCATAATCGGACCACTGCCACGCCCACAAATCGCCATTAACCGAAACCCTATAAAGTGGCATATCTTTGCACATAATTTAGATATAAAACTTATATTTGACACACGGAATGGCAGTAGCAAGCGCACCTGTCTGAAAATTTTTTTTCTGGAAAAGTGGGCGTGACTGCGCCCTGTAATAAGTTTAATGTACATATCTCCTAAGCCACTTAAGTTACAACAACCAAATTCTTCGGACGCAAATACTATAAGAACCCACAGTGTGAAAATGGATGAAATCGTATCATAACCTCACTCAACACCCCATACCCCAACGGTACTGTTAAAAACTACTAAAAGAAACTTAAAAGTACTTATATGAAGCGTACAGTTACGTACCAGCAAAATTCCATAAATTTATTGGTGACATTCGTTTGCTCGCCATGCAGCTCCTCGGTGAGTATTTCCTGAAAATTGCGCGTACAGCGCATCCAGTCGTCCTGTATATAGCCGAAACAGTCCTTGTGCTGTAAATAATCTTCAAATTTATATAGCATGCCATTAATGTACTTGAATGTTTCAACTTAGAACAAAATTAACTAAATAAACATAAGCCAAAAGTTCTGGACAAACGCGTTCAGGCGACACGTCGGCGCGTTAGGGTGGCTCATCAATTTATAAAATTATTGTTAGCTTCTGCTATTTATGTGCTGCCACTTTCGAACATTTTTACGCTACATGATGCATGGAAGCACTAAAATGCCACAAGACTACCCTAACACGCTTAAATCGACATTTTAGAACCGTTATAAAGTGTGTGTGTGTGTGCGTGTGTTAAACTTTTAAGAAAGTTTTGCGTATAAAGTAAAAAGTGTCACTTTCACTTTTGAACTGTAAACATATTATATGAAGCATGAACACATGGCGTATGCGTAACTTTCAGCACATGTGCATGCGCGCGGGGCGTATGAGTAACTTGTTTACACTGTGAGTGTCATGGAACTTCGAAGTTTATCAAAGTTGAAAGGCAAACTATTTTCATGACATTAAGACAACTTTATTTGCACTTTATTGTATTCTTGAGGTATTTGATTACGGTAATGGATTTTAAGCTTTTTTTTCTGTTTAACAGAGAGTTCAAAGTGAATAAAACAACGGCAATTAAGGCAAATTTAATAAAGAAATTTAGAGTTTGGAGTGAGCGTCAAAACTATAATTAGATGATAGTTGTGGTTACCTTAAAAATAATATAAGCAAATATATAACAATTTATATAGAGACTTATAAAAGAAATGCGTAAATGACAAGTAAGGAGGAGCTAAGTTTGGGTGTAACCGAACATTTTATACTCTTGCAACTAGCAAAGGTCAATTAAACAGAAATACCTGTTGTCTGGTTTATATGAAAACTAGATTGCAGGAGATAACTCACGGTAAGACAATTTTCATAAGATAAAATATAAATATATATATAGTATTATTCGCATATTATTGTGGCTTCCATTTCGTAGGAGTATGAATACGTTTTATGTGCATGCAAACCTACCCTTTTGGAATTCCCGATCACTGCAAAAGCGATTGAAAAATCTGCGTGCTCCTTCCACATTATTCTTGAAGAGATTCAGCGTTTTATTGGTTAGACAACGAGCCGTATAGTCGTCAAAGCATCTCATGCCCTTATTGAAAACACTGCAAATATTAAAAAAAAAATCATTTACGCTAAATCACATGCATCACACAACATAATATAATACTAAAGCCATGTCTATATACATTTTTTATATCAATATTACATATCGCTTGCACGAAACTAATGTAAAAGCATTTAACTTCTTACTTTAATTCCTCTTTTACACCTTTTTGTAAGATTTATACCCCTTTTAAACAATTAATTAAAATATCTCCATCGAAAAATATCTCATGATATCACGTATTTTATTTATTCCGAATTTTGCCAATTACCTTTTAGTTTATTCAGCTTTAGTTAGGAAGCACTTGCACCATATTTTCATAAAATGTTCGTTTTCAAGTGTTATGCTTGCAACGTGCCTACAAATCCCGAAAATTGTTCAAGCTTGTGTGAGAAATCTTTCATGCGTGCAACAAAAATAACAAAAATTCAAAAATTCGTTGTATTAACTGCAAATATGCACACAAATTAACAACAGCTCATGATTTTATGAAAATTTAAATCGACATGTTGTTATTGTTATACTTGCATGCTCTAATTAGTTTGAACACTGAAGTTTTGCATTTAAAGTAGACAATTTTTAAAATTAAATAAAGAAAAAATCCAAAAATTTAGCAAAATTTCATATTTAGAATGATTTAAGTTTAAAAATGTAAAATTTATATGAAACGAGAATAAAAATTACATCTTCCTGAATTTGTAATAATTGCAAAATTTAATATGAAACAGTGATAAGTATTGGAATTCTCCCAAACACTCGATACCACACTACACAATAAAAACTATTATATTTGGGGAAAAGATAAATAATTACCTTTGTTTTGAGTTTTTATTTTCCACAGAAAAATAGAAAATTTTCATTTTTAAATTTGGATATCCCATTAAAAAATATTTACCAAAGGAAAAGTTCGTTCGTGGCAGCCACTGAACAGCATTTATCATATTCAAACAGCCCTTTTGCTAACAGAACTTCAACGGCCAATGTATGCCAACATGTTTCCTTGCCCGTATTTGCTTCCCAACAACAAGGTTAACCTTTACGTGAACACTAGTTCAGTTCAATCAGATTTTGCATTCATCATTTTTTTTTTTTAGCAAAGCTCCACTGTACTTTTCCTTTTAATTGCGCACAAAATCAAACAATTTAAAACTGAAACTCAATCTGTATTGTTAATACAGAATAATTATAAAAAAAAAAGATTCACCTTACAAATAATCGTTATCGAATGAATAGTACTGAAAACAAAGTCATACTACACAAATTTCGACAATCGTTGACGTCGTAGAACAGACATCGTCATACGGACAGTTGTACGAATTTGCGAAAAAAATTATTAGTTGCTATAGTAATAGAATTCCCTTTGCGTAGTCGTTGATAAGCGCTTGTGCACTTTGCATTTGAGTTTTGTTTATAGATTTAGATATTTTCAAAAAAACTATGGCAACAAAACATATTGAATCAACTTTGTCTGCAAATATATGGTTTCAAAGGTTTGGCAACCTTTTCTCCATTAACGTTACACTGGAATAGTATAGTCAAGACCACAAAAAAATATGATTAAAAATGATTTATTTGTAGCAATTTGTATCAAACGGCGTATTTGTGATTACAAAGTGAGTAAAATATTATCTGGTTAGAGCAAGTACCCAAATAGTCGTTAAATATTTAATTGACATGAAGGAAAATGGTGCGAACTTTGTGTTCTACCACAAAACGGAAACAAACCGAAGGCTTCTCTATACTTTCACGCACACATACACAATATACATAACTAATTGCTTCGTAATATGATCTTCTCTTGCGACAACAAGAATAATGGACACTAGCAAACAACAACGATAAGTGAGATAAACAAGTGATAACTAAATGATGCCCCAAATGCCAGATACTAAAGTATATTTACCAACAAAGTGTTAGTTAAAATTTGTTGTTAGAGAAAATGTATATAAATATAGTATGTGTAAAACAATGTGTACGCATATTTAACCTGAAAAAGTTTTGTTTATTTAGGCTTTTGGAGTAGCCAACTTACTTTAACATTCTCGGCGGTTACTTCTGAAGATTTTAATGAATTTGGATTGAAGTTTTAAAAAGATTTAGAAGTTATTTAATTCCAGCACTTCCTTTGGAAGTAGTAACGACTTTTACGGAAAAATTCGGACATTTCAGGTTGGTTAATGTTATTTAGTAAAAATTAAAACCTTTCTCACGTCTCTGAACAAAAATTATCAGTACCTAAAACCTTCACCAAAAACCCCAGAATTTACACGTCTTCATAACTCAATTTATCGAAGAAGGCATTTTGCGAAGGATTCAATCCAATCTATCTATTGAAATTTCCTTTTCATGAGGGTTTAAATAACGAACAAAGACTACCACATGCACAAGCTAGTAATCGTGATAAATTGTTGGAAAAAGCGCGCGAAATTATTATTATCGATGCAAGTTTTACAACGAGTATTTAGGGAATATCAGTTTGGGGACCTAAGAAGTGCGTGTTTTTTGATATAAACAAACGGATTTCTCTTACTAACTACCACTTCAAACTCGCCAGATCTACCACCATGTGACTATTTTCTATTGCCAAAAACTAAAACCAACTTATAAGCAACATGTATATTTGATGATATCCCAGCCATTCAAGTAGCTGTCACCGTGGTGCTGATGAATATTCGTATGTACAAATGACGCAGTACAATAATGGTACACATAACGGGATACTAGCATTAAAATGCGAAACTCATTTTATTGTAATGATCGCTATTGCACTTCTGCTTTGTTAGTTTTCGAAGACACTCGGTACTGCTTTCCACAAAATAATATGAGTGTTAGATATTTCGTTTTCAAAATAATCCTTAAAATTAAAAATATTCTCAAAATTAGAAAAGTAAGCAATTTTAATAAATTATTGTTTTACTTAAACATTGGGTTTTTCTCCAGTGGGTAGAGTAAAGCGGGAAATATTGGCCCAATTCACTTAATTGAAGGCATCATGCAACAAAGGGCATGTGACAAAATATTAGAAGAAGTAACATTGCCATATGCTCCAATCAATATCAATGTCATATTCCATTGATATGGGTATATCAACAGGATAATGACCCTAAACATACTAGCAAGTGCGAACAAGAAGTTTTAACCGCATAGAAAACATGTGGACCTAAGCCGAAGGGAAACCAACCAATTTGAGAGATTTATGGCAGATAGTGAAAGAGGCTTGGAAAGGTATACCAATAAAACGTTGCCAGAATCTCATAGACTCTATGTATAGTAATGTTTTTGTGTTTTTAAAAACCCGACGTTATTCAACAAAATATTAATCATTTCAGTTTTTGCAAAACTTTGGAAACATTATAAGTTAAAATTTTAAAACGGTTTTGTATTACATAACCAAATCCTATTTTTATGTGGCACTAATTTTTTAGTCCATTTATTAATAGATCAAAATTTTTTTGTGAACGACTGTGAAATGTGACTAAAAATCTTTACATGGGTAATGAAATCTATTTTGAATATATAATGATTTTCAAGATATGGGGTGCATTTTATTTTAAAGACACACATTAGGGTGGATCGAAAAAAAATTTTCTTGGTGCTTTGAAAAATAGGTTCCTTGGGCCTCTTAGTATGAATTTCTAATTTCAACAGGAAAGTGCTCCGCCTTACGTTTTTCAATTTTTAATATCAGATAGAAAAATTCAAATCTTGCTTCCAACTACTTGAAAAAATATCTCCTTTCATAGATTTTGTAGGTAATTACATGCTAGAAACCAAATCTTTAACAATTTTTCGTAAACCCAATTGTTTAAACAATATTAACGGTTGAAGTTTGATTTATTAGACAATTTTTTTTCTTGTTATGAATTTTATAACGCAACGAAAACATAAGTATTTTAAATTTTTAAACTTTTCGAAAAACCTATTTTTCAGAGTACTAAACGAATGGAAAATATTTGTTGTTTTTCCACCCACCCTAACGTACATACAACCAAACTTACTAATGCAGCCTACCCGTGAAGTTACATTCAATTTTCCGTAACTTGATCTACAATTATATTAAGAAAATTTAAGTCATGCGAGGCTTTGAAATCTTAAGTTCAAGTATTTAATTGAGTATTCACTTAGCTTGCTTAATTATAGCGTAAAACAAATGCTCTTTACAGAGTATATAATTACTGGTAAGTGAGTACAAGAATTTTACAATTTTGTGTGTATATTTGCGTATCAATGAAGAAGAAGATAATAACAGTTTGTGTATCAAAGAAAAAGACGGAGTGAAGCGAACTGAACTGAACAGTGGCTTAGTGGAGTACTTCTCAAATTTTGGTTCACCTCCTTATAGGGTTGCGGCACTAATTACACATTAGTTATTAAAGGCTTATATTAGGTTGGAAAATATCTCCCTTCTGCCTTTTTGCTATTTATTCAATGCTCTATAAAAAGTATTACAGTGATTGGATTTAGTTTAAATATGCGCCGTTTCATTCGATAATCTGTTTCCATCAAGGCGGCAACTTCATAATACCACAGTCTTGCGGATTTGCCTTTAACGAGGAAAAACTTCAAAATACCGTGAATTTCGGCGTTAGTGAACTCTAAGTTTACACGTCTACAACTGCTGAACGCAATATCCAAACTAATCATGTGTAGCGTCGTTTTGTAGGTTATGTCAAGAATTCCAAAGATATGCAGTATTGCCAGATATGAGCTCTACACACTTTCAAAAGACAATATTTATCAATCTAATATAAGAATTTATAGAAGACGAAGGCATGACATTGTCTACCGGGAGGCAAATGAAGTTCAAAGTTAAAATATTCACTAAATGATTTTTAAACATTTTTCATGACTGAAAATTTAGTTCGAGCCTAAAGTAATATAAGCAGAAAGTTAACTGCAAATATCGGATTTAAATTAAAAAAGAATCCAAAATTCGGGAAATTAATTAAATTAAATATTTAAACTAAAAAATAAATTTTATTAATTATTAATTCTCTTCGTCTTTATTGGCGTAGACACCGCCAGTAGTTTCTTCTTTTTGCTACGTGGCGCCAATTGGATATTCTGTGCGAAGCCAGGTCCTCCTACACCTGGTTCTTCCAACAGAGTGGAGGTCTTCCTCTTCCTCTGCTTCCCCGGCGGGTACTACGCCGAATACTTTCCGAGCTGGAGTGTTTTCGTCCATTCACACAACATGACCTAGCCAGCGTAGCCGCTGTCTTTTAATTCGCTGAACTATGTCAATGTCGTCGTATATCTCGTACAGCTCATTGTTCCATCGAATGCGATATTCGCAAAGGATCATGCATCTTTCGCAGAACTTTTCTCCCGAATTACTTAATTAAAACTAAAAAATTAATCTTAAACCGTATTTTTATTTTCAAGTTTTAATCTCAAAAATCGGATTGAAAGAAAAAATGTATCTAATTGTGATTATGTGCATGTAAATTAAATTATAAATAGAAATTATATTCTTAACTATTTAGAGTTAGTATTTTACTACTACTTACTATAGACCAGTGGTTCCCAAACTTACATATTAAAATATATAAAATATATAAAAAATTTGATTTTTTTATTATAACATTTTGACTTAAAACTAAATTTAATTTTTTTATTTCCAATATTGGCATATTTTTCCGCTGCATTTAATTCCGATATTGGGATTAAAAATTTAAAATTTTATTTTTCATTAAAAACTTTTTAATCAAAACATTCGCTTTCCTGCTCTCAATACACCCGCCTTCTATACATATTTCGGCACGAGCTTTAATTTTGGCGTGATTTCACTCAAACGGCACTACCCTTTTCATCTAACTGCAAAGTGAGCACTAACTAACTGTCGCTAAAATAACAAGCTTAAATTTTCAATTATATCACCGATTTCTCAAACACACTTATTATAATTTTTATGAAATTTGCGCATCCACATTTCACTTTACGCATTAAGGACATTTTTCCAATCACTTTCGAACGTCGCCATCAAAAGCCGCAAAATGTCATTACCCAACGACCAGACGGCGTTCGCAGAAAATTTCGAATATTTGATTTGGTGTGAAAACCGCAAAAGCATACAAAAGTGGCGAACAAACCAAAAATAAACAAACACCACGCCACTTAACCTCACATAGTAAATCGGTACAGAGGCAATTGTGTGTAAATAGCATTGGTAAAAGTATTCTCTACATTTCGCAAGAACTCCCACTGCTTCACTTACATGCACTTGGATGCGATTTCGCGTTCGTTGTTGGCAATCTTTGTGGTCTGCAGAAATTCCATTAAATGTGGCGGCAGATCCTTAAAGCACTCGTCGACCATGCGCTGGGTGTCGCCGCATTTACTCTCGGCGCCGGCTGCGGTATCGCTGCTCTTGAGGGAGGCCGCCAGACGCGACTCGGTGTCATTCTGCGAATTCACCGATGACACCAGGGGAATCAACAGTAGCAACAACGCAAACATCGCCGTACTCGCGACGCGCCAAAATTTTATAATCAACGAACGCTTAAAGTTAACGAACTTAAAATACCGTTAATATGTATTTCTTTAATTGTTGTGTGCAAATTTGTGTATTTTTATTTTATTATTATTTTTTTTTTTATACTTTTGATACTTAAAATTTCAAATATATTTATTTGACTCTTTTACACAACTTTATTAGGCGCTTATCGCTTTCATCACACTGTGCGCTTTCACCACTTTTGTACGATCGCGGTCACGCGTCCGAACCGTTACTGTTGCTTTGTCAAAACTGCTCGGCCTTTTATATGTCATCGTATTAACAGCGTATTTACAGTTACGATATTATCAACAGTTGTTTTCGACGAAAAAGCTCCAAAAGCCGGCTGAGCTTTCACGCAGCCGCAGCACTACCTCACGCACGTGCCTTTATTATCCTCGTTACGTACCACCTGTTCTTCAACAATTCAACAAAAAGGGAGACAAGGTTATTGTGTCGTTTGGCGCGTGATTTGCTATCGCAGGCGAATGCAAAGCGGCAGTGGATAGAAACTTGTTGTAGAAGACTCGCCGTCAAGGTACCAATTGTTGATTTCGCTATGCTTCCCACATCAAGGTCAATTATAATATTTTGTGCTTTACACTTCTTTTTGCGTAACGGTTTAAGGAAGGAAGTTATTTTTAAGGACAATTACAAAACTTTTCCAGTAAAAGCGAAGAAGAAAAATATTTCCCGTAACAATAGAAGCTTCTTTTTTACTTTTTCCATTGTTTGCGTTATTTTCGATTATTTCTCACATCGTTGCAGCAATAATATGAATAAAACTTGTTAATCCATAAAATAAAGTTCACGAACAAAATTTTAAAATATGATTAATTAGTGATTAATCACTTGTTCTGCTCGGTATTAATAACAAATCGCCATAAAATCGCCTGCTCTCAAGTTTACTTACCTTTAATTTGAGGCTAAAGTGCTAGTGTGCGGCAAAAAGCCATAATTCCTAAGCACTCTGTAATTAAGCACTTTCGTTCTCGAAAACGGCAAATTCAGAGAAAGGTAATCACTTGCAGTTCTTTGTAGTTCTGCTGGCATAATACGTCTGTATGGCATCATTTTTAAGTAATTAGCCTGAACAGATTTTCTAAGCTTCACACAGTGCTCTGCATCCGAATTTGATAATGAATGAAAATTAAAAAATCGTGACAAATTGTTGTTTTCCCAACTTTTATTTTTAATTTAATTGATTTGAATTTAATTTAATTCAATTTACTTTAATTAAATTTTTGTTAATTTAATTTTATTTAATATAGTTTATTTA